TAACGGTTCGGAAGCGGGAAAGAAAAGGAATGAATGAAATGGGAGAGGATCAGAAGAACCACTATAATCGGGTTGTTTTTTTATTGGTGGGGGGTGGGGAGAGGATGGAGGAAACCCCCTGCGATCCCTTTTAGGCTGGCTGGGAAAACTGTCCCCTCCGTGGATCGATCGGTGTCTTCAGGTGGTATGATGTAGAGTCCTGTTGCTTCCATTCTCAAATGCTTAGAAAAAAAATTTCTTTATGTGCCGCATGGCTTGCCTAAAAAGAAAAGGCTCCTATGAATAGGTACTGGAATATATATATTTTGCCAGTAACAATAATTGGAAGCGTGTGTGGAGCCGCATGTTGCTTCAGAGAGAGTGAGAGAGAAAGAATGCAGAAGGACTGCCAGTCATTGGCTGTGGAAACACTTCACTCTGTCTCCAATAGGGTTTCGGCTGCAAATAAATTTCTCTTGGCAGAAGCTAGAATGGAAATATTCTCCTAAGTTTTGGTTGAAACCTGCAACTAAAACCCATCAACTAAAACCAGTTAAAAGTTGGTTTTATGCCTGACTCCCAAGCATGACTGCCCCGACAAGATGGATGAGCGAAGAATTGGCAGCTGAGACCATGGGAGGCCCTGCTGCCTTCAAGGGGCTCATGGCTTAGCTTGGCTTCTCCACAGTCACAAAGCACCGCCTTCAGAGGGCCTTCTGGAAGAGAGCCACTGCTGAAGGATTTGATAACAGGATCCCATCAGCATGCTTGCTGCTGCTGCTGCTGTCGTTGATTTTAAGTTTGACTTGCAGGTTGGTATCTTGACTTGTAGCACAGTGGCACTTAGGGTAGAGTATGAACTCATGGGGTGGAATCCCTTTCCTAACCATGGGCGACAGAGCTCACCATCCCTCCAAAGCAGGAAAACATTTTCCCTATCATCACAACCTTCTCCATTTCAGCAAGATTTGGAAGTGGTGATGCAACATCTTTTCCTTGCTTGCGTGCAGCTTCACACACACTTCCAATGATTGTTACTATTCATAGATGTCTTTTTAAGGCAAGCCATGCAGTGCATAAAGAATTTTTTTAAAGCATATGATCTCTTAGTTGTATAAGTACTGCAACACCTGTATGACTAACAGATTTATTTCAGTGGGAGCTTTCATGGACACAGTCCATTTCTTCAGACAGATCTGTGCCTAAAAATTGAATTGTGTCCTCAAAAGCTCATACTGAAATAAACTTCTTACTCTTAAAGGTGCCACAATGGGGTTACTGTTTTTGTTATCTCTCTCTTTTTATGGTTGTTATTGCAACTGACTAACATTGCAGCTTCTCTTTAAAAAAGTATTTTGGTTACAATATTTATTTATGCAAGTGATCCTCCTCCTCCTCCTCCTCCTCCTCCTCCTCCCTCTCCCGGCACCGCTCTTCTTCCTCCTCCTCTTCCTCCTCCTCCTCTCCCGCCGGCTCACAACTTATCCGGGCTGCAAAGGTGACGATCGCGGAGGTGTCGCGCTCTCTTTTCTCTCCTCGGGATCTTTTCTAACTGCCCCCACCACCACGCACACCCGCAGCTTGAGTTTTGGGGGGGAGGCGGGCGGGCGGTCGAGGCTTGCGGCCGGATCAGGCCCCGGGGGGGGGGGGTGGGTCGGGGGGCGTCAAGCCGGCGCGCCCGGCGCTGGGACTCCGCGCTTGAGGTTGCCTCGAACTCCTGCGGTCCTTCCGGAGGCGCTGCGGGGCTCCGAGTCGGGCCGGGGGGGGGTTCCGAAGCGCTGGCCGGCATTTTCACGGCAGGTGCTTTGGAGCGGCCGCAGGGGAGGGCCAGCCAGGCAGCAATCGGCTCCCTCCTTCCCCCCGTGTTCCTCCCAAAGTGTTGGGGCTGGCATTCGTGACTGCACTAATAATAATTAACGCGAGCTTTTCAAAAGAGATTGCTAAACGGGGTGGCGGGGGGGGGTGAAAGGAGGAATCGATTTGCGGCATACCTGTCAATGACCTCATCTCTGGCGATGGCTTGTCTTCCGAAGGCCCTTCCGCACCCCCAGTCAATCACACACTTTGAGGATGTATTTCTGTATTTATTTAAAGGGTCTGCTGGAGGGGGGTGGGGGTAGTCCAGTCAGTGGAGGCAAGGCAAGGAAACTCACTTTTTCCTTCCATGATCTCCCAGGAGACATCTTTTACCTCTCTTCTGATCTCCCTTTTTCCTCTCCCTTTCTCTTCCCTCTGCTCTCTGAATTTGAGAGGTCCCTCCACCTTCACGCCAGCCCCCCCCCCCGGGAAGCATCTTTTGGGAACCTCCCCTGCTCCCACCCCACTCTTCCTTCTTTCCCATAAGTGTGGGAAGAGTTTCTGCCTCTACAGAAAGGACCCCCTGGTCCCCTTTTTCTCTGTCCAAAGGGCTCAGAATATCTCCCCATCCCAAAAACCCCTCTCATCATCCAGTCTCGGCTCCCCCCCCCACAGTTAATAGAGCGATTTAAAGACGGATCTTTGATATTTACTGGTCAGGATGGGACAGGAGAGCCACGGAAAGAGAGAGAGGGAGAGAAATTGCTTTTATTTTCAGCTGTCAAAGTATTTGTGGGAGGAGACCATAACAGGGAAGCCTGCCGATAACTTGATTTCTTTTACAACTACTGCAGCAACTAAAAGCCCAAACCAGCAATCTTTCAAATGTTCCCTTCAAAGTCTACCCTATTTAAATTAAAACAGGATTACTTCTGTGTAATATATACTGGATTCCAGGTTCTATGTGTGTGGTTTCCCCTCTCTTCCCCCCTCAGTCCAGAGGGGGGGGGTGTTTAGTGTTGCAAGTAAATTTATTTCTGGTGTTTTTCATAAGCACAACTTAGGCTCTCTCTCCTTTTTTTAAATTTAGTTACGCTTTATGGTCTGTAACAGGAAAGCAGGGCCCAAGGAGGGTGACTGACACCTGTCATGAGACAGCTCTCACACCCTTTTTCTCTCTGCATGTACACAACTGGCCATTTTTGGGAGGCCTCAAATAATCTCTTGTGTTGTGTTAGATCTCTAGGCTGGGATGTCTCTGAAGCGAGAGCCGGTTTGTTGATTATGGGCAAGCCTTCCTGCTAAGATTGCTGTGAGAAAGGCAGGTGTAGGAAACCTGGATCTTGTGGGCTTTGGGTCGCCTGACAGAGAAACAGTAGGGGATGAAAGTTCAGGGCACGTGGGTGTTTTATTACTGATTGATGGGTTGCTTGATTTGCTGTGTCTATGAGTTACCTTTCCTCATTTATCCTCACAATAACCATTCCCTTCCCCAAAATGTCTTTAATCCCAACAGGGCAATATCATGTAGGGGTTAGAGCGCTGGAACTGGGAACATGGTAGAAGGGGACATTTAGATACTTGGTGCACAGTTATCCAGAGGACATTGGGGTTTCCTGAAAACTCTTCTAATGTGTGAGTTAGTGATGGGAAAACTTTGTGCCTCCAAATACTTTGTAAATGCTTCAATTGTCAATTCCTGCATTGTCAGGATGTTGGACTACTTGATCTTTTCCTCATTTATCCTCACAATAACCATTCCCTTCCCCAAAATGTCTTTAATCCCAACAGGGCAATATCATGTAGGGGTTAGAGCGCTGGAACTGGGAACATGGTAGAAGGGGACATTTAGATACTTGGTGCACAGTTATCCAGAGGACACTGGGGTTTCCTGAAAACTGTTCTAATGTGAAAGTGTTGTGCCTCCAAATACTTTGTAAATGCTTCAGTTGTCAATTCCTGCATTGTCAGGACGTTGGACTAGTTGATCTTTGGAGTTAGTCCCAGTCCTACCAACCACTGGTTATGGGATTAATCGGTTTTCAGTGCATTGTAGGTCAATGGAGATTCGACTTACAGATTTTTCGACTTGCAGCCACCATTCCAATACGGATTAATTCCTTAAGTAGAGGGTCCACTGTACCCCCAGTCCTACTGATTTATGATTCCTCTTCCGCAGTGCCCATTCGATTGGCCGTAGGACCTGTTGCTTCTGGGAATCAAAATCCTGACCATCTGGAGGTTCAAAGGTTCTCCATCCCTGGTGCAAAATGTCCATTACAGCATTTATCTTATACAAGTAGTGACCATTCAAAGCTGCTCCTCATCTTATTCTTCATACGTTTAAAAAAGGATCAGAAAACAACCTTTTCTCAAATGTCTGGAGAAGGTTGACTTCCCAGGGTGCAAAAATACCAGACATCTTATTATATCTGCGTAGGTCGCTGTAGGATGTAGCTCTCCAAAACAGAGAGAGAGATTAAGCTCCTTCCTCTGAGGATATGACATCCTTTTGCATTAGGGATAAGAAAATAATTCAGAATTGTGTACTGACACCATTCTCTGGTAGTGGCAGAGTGGAAAATACCAACCCCAGGGGAATTACGGTGATAGACGGAGAGACTTGTCAGCCACCTTCCCTGTTGCTGAAGACTTGAACTTATAAACATAACGCAATAATTAATTAATTAATTAAATAAGTTCTGATCACATGCTTGTAGCAAGAGGGTTGACTACTCAGCGACTGCTTTGGAGGAGAGCAGCTAAGCTTGGATTTTATCAAAGTGGTGGGTGACTGCCATTTAGGTGTAGTGAGACTGAGTTGCTGGCCATTTTGTAGGCTGTTGGTTATCTGCGGTGGTTGTTCCGAGAAACGAAGCCCACGGAAATAGGCAAAGGTGTGTCCTTCCAGAACGTGGTAGGTTGACTCTCTTAGCAATCAAGACAGCAAAAAGTCCCAGCAGGGTTTCTTCTTAACCCAATCAAATCGCTTCTAGCAAAGGCACAATGAGGTGGTTGCCTCGGGTAGCAGATGCTGGGGAAGGTGGCAAAAAGGTGTTAGAGGAGAAAATTGTGTAGAAGTAGACTCTGTCTAGAGGGGCGGGGTATAAATCGAATAATAAGTAAATAAATAAAAATAAGTGCACAGCCTCCTATCTTTGCTGCAGTGGAAGATGCTGTCCCGTTGCCAGTAAAGTAGAAGATAGAGCTGTGGTCCATCAACTCTTATTCTTGGACGACTCTGTCTGTCCATTTTGTATTTTTTTTTGTGTGTGTGTGTGTGTCTCAGGCTGCAAAATATCTCCGGCGACCCTGTTTGTGAGTCCCTCTCCTTGCTTCGCATCTCGTTGTGTGGCTGGGAGTTGGCGGGTGGTGCCAGCAGGGTCAAACGGTGGGCCCTTCTTTAGCTCCACCCTGACGCAGAACTGTAGGGCTTAATCGCTCATAAAAGTTTTAACCGTCTGTGCAGCCTTTGTGTAAGTGGATTGGGGAGTCTGAGCGGAAACCCGTGGAAACGGTTGCTTACTGGTGCGATGGCTAAAAAAGAAAGCACTCAATTTTAAACGGGTATTAAAACAAGCTTAAAAATTGCAGCGTGCTCTGTGTGCACGCATGTGCAAGGGAGGGAGAAAGCCAATTTAGGTACCATTTCGTGATGCTTCAATAACGTATCAGTGCTTTGAAAATTTAATACCGTTCATCTTTTAAGGAGATTATGCGATCCAGCTGGGGTCCTGAGGCCTAAATGGATCTCAGGTGCTGCCAGCTCTAGATTGCAGGCCACTCTTCCTTGTTGGCATTGGTGGGGTGAGGAGTTGACAAAAGGGGATTATCGTGCCCCCCCTACACACTGCCTGTGATGTATTCTGCACACTCCTTGGTGTATCACCCTACAGAGGCAGACACGTGTGTCTTCAAAGTGGGGAGACTGCTGTCTGGGTGGATGGAATTACCAATTGGAGAGGGGGAGAGATGTCTTGCAAGGTTGGTTGGTGTTGGGAGATCTCATTGCTGCCTCGCTAAGGAAGGGGCCCTCTGTAAAGATGGCAGTGCTTTTGTGGATTGGTACATGGTGGGACTCCTTCCTTAAGGGTAGGTGTGGAAATTAGCATTGTCCTTTTGGAGGCATGAAGTTGCCCATCTTTGTCATCTTTGTCGGTGTCCTGCCTCCTGCTTAGAGCTTGGAGAAGCTTTCTTGCAGGCTGTAACTCCCAGAATCCCCCAGTTTGCACAGATGGGAGGATTCTGGGAGCTGCAATTTAAAAAAAGGAGCTTTCCCAAACTCTGGCCCTCCTTTGTGGGATAGACCTGTGATGTGACCAACTGCGATAGAGGGGTGCTGCCGCTCCACCCAGAATCAATTGCATTAAAAAAAACAACAACAGATTAAACATTGATATCCCGGTGATGCAAATTCTACACTGGGAAATGCTTAGTTCTGCATGCTACATAAATGTATGCAGGCTGGCATAATTTCATTTAAAAGCTGCCTTGCTGAGGTTTAGCCCCAAAAAGGGGCCTAAAACTGCTTTGAAGTAAGTCGTAGCACTATCGTTTCTTCTGCCTTGCTTGCTATTTAGCCCAAGCTGTTCTGGTTTTTATTAAGTGAGAGCTGTGTCGTGTCCTGAGAGGTAAACCAGTTGCAGCAGTCCCCCACCAGATTTACCTGGGAGGTCCTGTTGAATGCAGTGGGGCTTACTT